GCGGACCACCCAGCCCCCCCCCGCCCCACGCATGGTGACAAAACGTATTCACTTATCTCTAAATAGCAGTGAGACACAATGATTTATATTACCGGAATATAACAATTATATATATTTTAACACGGCTATACGTTTTTTTAGGGGGTGGTGGGTGGGGGTGGAATTTAGATTTTAAAGTTAGGGTAGTTTAATCAGGAATAGTTTACTGAACTTCATTATGAAATTGAATATCATGAGTCAAATATTAATGAATGTCCAAAATAAAAGGTTGTTGTGATTATTGTCCGGATCAACCAGCATTTACATCGCAGCCCCGCGGGGACCACCTGGAGGATCGTCTCGGACCACCTGGTGGTACCGGGAACCACACTAAGAACCACAGCTCTTGGGTATTAAAGCCGGAAACCTACAGCCGGCTGTAATCATTCGTATCGTATTTACATTCTCAGTACAACAGCACCTGTTGAGCGATTCCCAGTGCAGTGGGACACTGGGCATGTATTCATTCCAATAGCAATCCGTGCTCCCGTCTTTTTGGTGGGTGAGTAATTTTCGCCAGCGTTGATTCGGTTGACCGCAGTTGCTCTTGGGTGGCCATGCTGCTCCATCGTAATGGATTTGACTGCCAAAATAGGGGAGGTGTGCAAAATCCACGATACGTACAATTTGTCTTGTGCGCCCCCTCAACATCATTGCAACGTTGTTGTGAGATTCGATTACATAGCCACTTTAGAGCGACGTTGTGTGTACCTTATGTGTACCATACATATATTTATTTCGGTCCATATAATAGAATGGAAAGCAGCGATAATTCCGAATTTTTAAATGTGAGGTGTGTGACATTGTAAACGTGCAATTTCTTGAGGACTGTGATTTATTTGCATTAATTATTATCATCAGCCATGTTCAATCTACTGCTGAATTAAGGCATCCTCAAGCTGGCTCTCTCTCATGAACCTGTGATGTACTTATTCACCTAACATCTGCACACGAGTTGATTTCATCCCTCGAGATTCTTGGTGATCAAAACAAACATGTGCCGAGATTTGTCATTGTTGCGAGTGCATTTTGAGTGCAATGAGTAATGTGTGCACTCTAAATCACATGGGCATGCGTGTGCAGTGCCGATGGCTTCTCGCTTGGGCCGCCATGTGCCACGCTCACTCATATTCATCTTTAATCTGCTGGCTTCCAGACCAGCAGGAGTAGAATGCGGTGCAATGGGACCCCCCAATTCCAGGGTCACGTTTAGACAGTTTGACGGTTTTATTCATGGCCAGGTAAGAGCCTATTTAATTCGGGAGTTTCTATTTCAAGGGAGGGACGTGCTTGATAAAATACATCCAATCAACTTCCGATTACAATTTTCATGACAATTTATCAACCGCATCATCATAGCAAGCCCTAAATGCTAATTATTTACAAGGTCAAATTAATTAGTTTTTCTGTTTTCCAGAAGAATGCGTCCAAAACCCCCCCCACACCCACTTTTTGAAGCAGAAGCTCTGAATGAAAAATGAAACTGTTTGCAATTGAGCCTCGAGTCATAGGTCTGCCTGCCATGGAGGTTTACTCGGCATGTGACATTATCACGGTCCGCTGAAACCGGTCCACTGCATTTTCTGACAGCCAATTATTATGGAGAGGAGCTGTAACAAATTAAGCATTCTAGAAGAGTGCCTGAACTTATTTAAACGCGCCACGCGATGGGTTTTCTGCAAACGACTTCATGCCATCGGCTGCTGCAAACGTTCCCCCCCTCCCCCACCTCTGCTTTGATGCTACGTAGCCAATTGTTATGCAATTGTTATGCAATTGGCTTTGTCGTACGTTATCTTTGTATAATTGGAGATAAGAAATGCGAATAAATTGGGGGGGGGGAGGGGCGATGTATTTCATATCGCCGCCCGTTTTGAAATAAAGCGTCAATCGATTCCGTTCTTCGCGCGACGAATACAAATGCACGCTCCCTACGCTGAAGCCCTCGGGTTTGATTATCATAGTGCACTGTCTGTACGTATGTAATCACATTTGGCACACGGGGTGACACCTGCCAGCAATCATTCTTCTCGCACCACTGGTGGTGAATGCGAACGGGAGGCGTTCTTTTACAAGTCACGTCCGAAGGTGGAACTCTTGAGAAAACTTGCGCTTTGGCCAACGTTTGCGTGGCCTTGGATGTCCCCGACGCTCCGCACAAACATCAACTGTGCCGCTCGCTCGCCAGAGTGCGCGTCTCGCTCGCTCGCTCGCTCCTCTTCCTTGACAGGTTTAGGAGGTTTGTGTACACACCTCTTTCCCCTGGCTCCGTCTTTGCGTTGAACTGTTTTTGCACTCTTTGTATATTTCTGTAAATATTTCCTGTTCCTCCAACTTTAGACGTCTTTTGGCGCACTTTGCTGCATTGGAACATCATTTCTACTTGTCAAGCATATCATAAACGACAAATAATTACCGTGACGCTATTTAAATTTGTCCTTTTGGTGAGGTTGCCAAATTGCTCATAACTTTTCACTGTTTATAGTGTGTCTTAGTGCCCTTCACGGGATCAACGTAAGGTCAAGTTTATATTGTTTAACCAGGTGAGAACTCAAGAGATCAGGGTGAGTCTCGTTTGCAACAGTGAAGTGGTGTACACGAACTAAATGGGAATTTCCTCTGTCCACGATAACACCGAATATCTTCACGTATTAAGGATCCAGCCTTAGCACCCTGACGTGTGCATGGCCCAGTGCAGCCCCAGGGGGTCCAGTTGTACAAAGCTGTGCCCCATAGCCGGAGCAAGGTGCAACGCAAGGGTGGTGGTGCAAGAAAATGAGACTCTGCATCACGATACATTACCAAGGGGGTGGGGGTTCAAGCTCATAAGTTAAAAGTTTCCTGTGGTTCAAAGATATTTAGTGTTTATGATCGTGCGCTCGTCTTTCCGAGCCAGCAACATGCTGCTCAGTTTGCAGTGTGGAGTGGGGGGGGGGGGGGTGCTTTGAGTTCACCGTTGAGTTTGGTGATGGGACCCTCTCGTCGACGGTGTGTGTGTGTGTGCGCCACATGGCCTATAGCTGAGCACATCCAGAGAGTGTGTTGGGCCCCCATGTGTGGAGGTCAGTTTGCACTCACGGACCCTGGCCGGTACGTAATTTGGTGTTGAGCAGGGCCCGTGACCGACGAGACGCTGGTTAGTGTCGTTGTGGAGAATGTAAGTGAAAAATACATAAACACACACTATATATGTCCCTCCACATGAAAAGAAAACGTTTTTTTAAGTGGAGGGGCCTGATATAGGAAAGACATTGTTGGCTTATTTATCTGGTAATGATTAAAATACATGTCTACCCATCCCAGAGGATAACGGCACAAAGAAAAGTACATGATATAATTGCTTTATTTTTTTTTACACAAGTAGAATAATAAGGCCCCTTGCAATATTAAACATTTTTGGTCAACAGGGATCAAACAAAAAAAACCCACGGTGGTGCAGCTGCAGTTGCTTGGTAACTTGTCTCTGAGATGCTGATGGCAGGGCATTAGTGGATCCATGGTAGAACATCAAATCGTCTGTCTGGAATTTGATGGGTACATTTTAAAATCTTATTATATCCTTGATGTCTCGATGGTCTTGATGAATTTAATAGTGACTGCATCAGGTGGACAAGATCTGAATGATTACTATATCTACCGGCAAGAGATAATGATGCCTATCCAGAGGCAGAGGTTAAGTTCAAGTAGTTACGAGGTTAATGGGAGGTCCTAGTGTTTCTTTAATGGAAAATTAATGTCTTGACATTTTTGGGGAGGAGATTTGCCATTAGCTGCCATTACAGAGAGCATTGCACCACTGCTGTGCCTGCTGCTAGAATCGCATTTCACAGCATTCTCGAATGTGATCCGTGCAGCTTTGACATCCGATGGCCTATTCGGAGCCTGCTCCCAGATCCCATTCTCCATGCCACTCGTATAGCCTCTTAGATTAAATATTTTTTTTTTACAGAGTCTTAAGCATATTCAGGCTGTTACTTTGAGACGCTTCATGTGGTGTAAAGCAATGTGTGGCAGTTGCCTTTAATGTCTGCCTTAATTGGTAGTTACGTATCAAGCGAGTCATTCCGTGTCCTTTTTTTTCAAAGATCAGCTCAGCATGCCAATAAAACTGAAAAGATGAATCATTAGCTGGTAACTTTGATTTCAAAATCAGTCCTTCCATTTTATACTCGAATAACTGCAACTAGTTTTGCTCAGTGGCATGGACATGGGTTTTTTTTCTCAAACAGCAGTTGTTTGTGACCTAACGAGACACCTGCATATTACAGCATAATGTTAATGATTTAAACGGTCTAAAAAAAGAGTCCCATTTGTACTGCATCGGTATGTATAATGGGGTCCCTTTTATGTTGTGTGTTTCCCTGAGGCCATTTGTTCAGTGACCAGACTGCATACTGGCATTACCAGTGTGAGACCTGACCTGTGAACCATGTGCCCACACCAGTGCTGGTTTATGGTCGATGATGCACCCACATTGAAGCGGTGACTTTGCCCAGCTGTGGTGCTCTGTGTTGATGATTCTCATTGTTACCAGCTACATTCTATTACATCCCTGGTGTAGTCTGTGTGGTGGGGCGGGTGCTGATGTAGCAGGAATACTAGGGCATTATTGTGGAATACGTAATTATAAATGCACATATATACCACAAACTTGTGTTGATAACCGCCAGGGTTTTTCTCCAGTTATCAAATCAAAACCGTGTAGTCTTACTGCTATGGCATGTTAGAGATGGCTTTTTATTGTGTTTGGAACTGTGGCTGGCAGACAGTCCCTGCCTTTGAAATGCTATACAAATGATGCAAATGCCTAATGTGCTCTATTATTACTTGTGTGGGTACAGGTAGCACGTGGCAATTAATTCACCGTTCTTCATTTGTAGCGCGACCTGTGCGCGTGTATTTGTGGAGCGCGCGGGGCCTTGCATCCGCTCACGCCGTTACCCTGCCCCGTGCGATTGCAGGACTCGACCCGGCAGAAGCGCGAGCGCAAGAAGACGGTGTCCTTTGGCAGCATGCCCACCGACCGGCGTGTGAGCAGCGCCAGCGACTGCATTAACCTCATGCTCGAGGGCTGCGAGCTGCGCAAGATCCGGCCAAACTCGCGTGTTTACCAGCGCTACTTCCTGCTCGAGTCCGACCTGCAGTGGCTTCGCTGGGAGCCGTCCAAGAAGGACTCGGAGCGTGCCCGTCTGGAGATTGTCGCCATCAGGGAGGTGCGCGTTGGCAAGAACACGGAGACCTTTCGCAACCACGGCTTCGCGGAGCACATCTCGGCCGACTGCGCCTTCTCCATCATCTACGGCGAGGGATACGAATCGCTCGACCTCGTGGCGTCCGCGCCCGATATCGCCAACGCTTGGGTCACGGGGCTACGGTACCTCCTTTCCTTCGGCTCGCACTCGCTCGACATGCTCGAGAGCAGCCACAACTCGCTGCGCCACTGCTGGCTGCTGCCGCTCTTCACGCGAGCGGACGGCGGCGGCAAAGGTTGCCTGCCCGCCGAGGTGGCCTGCCAGCTTTTGCAGGGCTTGAACCCGGCCCTGAAGGGCATCACCATCAGACTCAAGCTGAAAGAGCTGCAGAAGAGCAGGGTCTCCCCAATAGACGGCATCTCGTTTCCCGAATTTGTCGACATGTACCACGAGTTGTGCACTCGGGCAGAGATCTATTTTCTACTGGTGCAGTTTTCCAGCAGTAAAGAGTATCTGGACAGCAGGGATCTAACCATGTTTTTGGAAGCGGAGCAGGGCATGACTGATATTACTGAGCAAATGTGTTCGGACATTATCCGGCGGTACGAGCCCTCCACTGAAGGGCAGGAAAGGGGCTTTTTAGGAATTGACGGCTTCACGGGGTACCTCATCTCTGCGGAATGTGATCTCTTTGACCCGGCGCACAGGAGGGTTTGCCAGGACATGAGCCAGCCGATCTCCCATTACTACATCAACTCGTCCCACAACACGTACCTAATCGAGGACCAGTTCCGTGGCCCCTGCGACGTCAGCGGCTACGTGCGGGCCTTGCGGATGGGCTGCCGCTGCGTGGAGATGGACGTTTGGGACGGGCCGGACGGCGAGCCCATTGTCTACAATGGCCATACAATGACGCTGCCGATCACCTTTCACAGCGCGCTGGAGGCCATTAACAAGTACGCTTTTGTGGCCTCCGAATACCCATTGATCATCTGCTTGGAGAACCACAATTGCATTATGCAACAGAAGGTTTTGGTGCAGCACATAAAGAAGGTTTTGGGCGATAAGCTGTACATCAAGCCCGTGGACATCAATGAGAGCTACCTGCCTTCGCCCGAGTCTCTGAAACTGAAGATAATTCTCAAAGGGAAAAAGTTACCTTTTGAGGAACCGGGGCCAGAGGGAGAGGTCACAGATGAAGATGAAGCCTCGGAGATCGCACAGAGGACAGAGATGTCCCAGGACATTTTCCTCCAGCCAGACGAAATCGACGTGAAGAAACAAAAGTTGTGCCCCGAGCTGTCCGACCTGATAACCCTGTGCAAATCTGTGCGTTTCCGGGACTTTGACTCATCGCAGCAGTGCCAGAAGTACTGGGAGATGTGTTCGTTCACCGAGGCCCTGGCAAGCCGATTTTCCAACGAGTTCTCGGAGGACTTCGTCAACCACAATAAGAGGTTCCTTTCTCGAATCTTCCCCAGCCCCATGCGCATCGATTCTAGCAATCTCAACCCGCAGGACTTCTGGAACTGTGGCTGCCAGGTGGTGGGCATGAACTACCAGACGCCGGGGCTCATGATGGACCTCAATGTGGGCTGGTTCCGGCAAAACGGCGGCTGCGGCTACGTCCTGCGCCCGTCGGTCATGCGGGACGAGGTGTCGTACTTCAGTGCCAACGTGCGCGACGGGCTGCCCGGCATCTCCCCGCAGCTGCTGCACATCAAGGTGATCAGCGGGCAGCACCTACCCAAGCCACGGGGCTCCGGCTCCAAGGGCGACGTGGTGGACCCGTACGTGTACGTGGAGGTGCACGGCATCCCAGCCGACTGCGCCGAGCAGAGGACCAAGACGATCGGTCAGAACGGCGGCAGCCCCGTCTTCGACGAGAGCTTCGTGTTCCAGGTGAACCTCCCCGAGCTGGCGATCGTGCGCTTCGTCGTGCTCGACGACGACTACATCGGGGACGAGTTCATCGGGCAGTACACGATCCCGTTCGAGTGCCTGCAGCCGGGCTACCGCCACGTGCCGCTGCACGCGCTCACGGGGGAGTGCATCGAACATGCCAACCTCTTCCTGCACGTGGCCATCACCAACCGCAGGGGCGGCGGCAAGGCGCAGAAGAGGGGCCTCTCTGTCCGCAAGGGCAAGAAGACGCGCGAGTATGCCGCCATGAGGCTGCTGGGAGTTCGCGTGCCCGACGAGGTGTTCCGCACGGCTGCGCAGCCCCTGCACGAGGCCACCGATCTGCGCGAGAACATGCAGGTACGGGGGCCGTCCCGTGGCGGTGCGTGACAGCGTGCAGGTACGGGGGCCGTCCCGTGGCGGTGCGTGACAGCATGCAGGTATTGTTGCTGATGATTATTAGGGTTGCATATTTTCATAGCTTTGTTGGTTTTTCAGCAGGATTTATTGATGTGTCACTGAAAAACGCAGATCTTTTAATGTAATTACGACTTGCTGTTTACTTTTCGCCGTTCGCTGCGAATTGGCATCGCCAAAATGAAAATTCCATTGCTCCCCCGTTTAGTCGCACAGCAAGGCGTCATTTTTCGTTTTGTTTTAATTCGCACGCGGTCGTGCAGCACGCGCGGTCTTAAGGATGGCTCGCTCCACACAACTGTGGGGCAAACTGCAGGTGACACGCATTTTGCGCAGCGCCAGGGCCCTTGAGAGGTCGGCAGTGCGCACCGCGGACTGCAGTGTGCTACCACCGCCACCACCACCACGCTCCTGTGGGAACGTTGCATCTCACGAATGCGCAGACACCCGCTTCTCTGTTGTTCCTACAGATACAGAGCTAAATTGTGCCGAGTTCCTCCGTATTATTTATCAGCCGGACGTCGCGAGGGTGGGGCGTGCATTTTACTGTGTGTGTCAGTGTACCCATTGCTATTCACTAAGCTGGACGTTTGTGTATTGACGTCTGTTTCTTGATGTTTTTGCGTGCCTATGGATCTGCATAGTGCCTTCGGTGGGGTTCGAGTCGGTGTATAAAATTCGAGTGCAGAAGTTGTTTGATTTCTGCGGGACACCTGAAGGGTGCTGGCAACTCATGCGTGTAATTGAAAGTTTATGGCATAGTATTTCTGAAATTGGATACTTAAATCTGTGATAACCTACGAACCGTTAAATAGCATCATATATTTAAATATATTGTCAAGTCAAACTATAATATTTCTGAGTGGAGCTTCGTTCATATGGTTTGTGCATTTCACAAAAATTCAGAGAAATATATATTTTTAATGGATTTGATATCTATAAATTTGAAAGCCCATGGGTAATATTTTTGTTATGTTCTGTTCAGCCATTCATGATTGATTGTGTGCTTTTTCTTTAGAATTGGCCAAGAAATCCTCTGCAATACAATGTGGTGGAGGTCAGGCGCATTTTATGGCCTTTGCAGACATTAGTCTCTGCGTTTGAATGCCTCTGCGTATGGTGTTCCACAGAAAGAGTTATTGTATTTCTCAAAATAAATGTAAAAGATCAACGACAACACGACGTTTTATCTGTTACTGTAATTTTAGGTGCAACTGTTGTTCGAGCTTAATGGATCATCTTACGGCTTTGTCAATTGATGTATGTGATTGGCGCTGAGGTTTTGTCTAAATAAATCAAATGACCCCCAACGCCATTGCTCTTCACGCCACATTCCCAGTTAGCGATGTGTGAATTGCAATGCTCCAGCGGCTTGTTGTGCTGTCACATTTTGTGAAGTCTGTAGGGGTTGCAGAGCAGTGCTAATGATGGTAATTAGACTTGGGGAAAAGCGTGACTTTTTTTTTTCCTGTGTCCTTTAATATCACCAGGTGAGACCAATATATTGATATTTCACACTAATTGCACAGGCGTCCGTCGGAAGCCGTTGGGTACAATTGAAATTTTCATGGCTTACATTCGCTTAATACTGAGTTTCTAATGAGCTGTGGACACGTGATGTGTGTATGTATAGTGCATTTTATGTTGTGCTAAAGCTAGTACAGATGTACACTATTTTTCTAACTACAAGACTTTACCGAAAGAACCAAAGAGTACAGATGTACACTGTTTCTAACTAGAATTTCGGTTTGTTTTATAAAAAAAAAATGGCAGCCATTTTTATTTGCAAAAAACAAACAAACCTTTGTATACTCGCACACTCGGGTGCACACGTACGCTTGCTCATTTGTATTTCTCTTTTGCTGGCAGAACGCGGTGATGTCCTTTAAGGAGGTCTGCGGGCTGCCACCCGCAGCCTGCCTAAAGCAGTGCATGCTGGGAATGTGTGCGCGCCTGCTGAGCTCGGACGCGTCGGCGTGCATGGTGCTGCAGCTGCGCGAGGGCTACCCGGCGCTGGAGAGTCCGGGCGCTCTGCCCGACAGTCTCAAGAAGCTCGTGCAGGCCTTCAACATGGTACCGGCTTCCCGCGCTTGTGCATACCCATGTGGGAAAATCACGCCATCCCCAAAACGAAATGCAATCACGAAGGTGCTGTGTTTTACAGACGATTATCGTCTGCCGTAGTTTCACCGTCGGGGTTGATGTGACTATGTGGCTCCACCTATTTTGTCGATTTGCGAGTAATTATGAAATTTGTACCGTGACGTTGGGATACATGGCCTATTATTTTTTCGAACAATGCGAGTACTGTATACGTAAAGACAAACATCCTCTGTATATTCTCTTTGGGCAATTGCTGCCAACATGCACCGATCGAGACCACAATGGCACACGGGGGGCAGTGGCACCGGCACCACCCCAGATTTCTTTGTCTCCCCAGTTTTGATGTTCGTGTAATAAACAGGTACACATTTTTAGGCCGCAGAGATTCTAATACCACGTGCCGCTCATGTTGTCCAGGGCCGGGAATTGAAACCAGGTCGGTCAGTTTCACAATGTAGTTTGGTAACCACTGCGATAGCTGCTACCCACGCGCATACGCACACACACAATCTCATACTCCAGAGGCATGACTTTGTTTTTGTGTGTTCAGGTCCATAGCAATGTAGGCCATTGGGCACTCGTCAGAATATACACGGTGTGTAATTCTTTTTGCTTTTTTATTTTGACAAATACATGCACACCACTAATGGAAAATTAAGTAGTTTTGAGTATTTGTCTTTATCAATATCAGCAATCGTGATGATATTGTATTACCACGGAGATCTAGCAAATAAATAATACCTGTTTTAAAGCCACGTGCTGAGTCACCTTGTGGCCCACGTGAACAACTGAACTGCTGCTGGTGGTGCCCTTCCAAATGTGTCAAGATGAGATGCGGTGCAAGTCACTTTTTGTGTTTAAAGCGCTCTCGGTCACCTCGGCGTTAAGGGCTGAACTTCAAAATAAGCCCTTGTTTATCTACTCAATTCACGCATGTGCTTGGAACTTGGAGTATTCGCTCCCCTGTGTGAATCATTAGCTTCTCCAGTTGGGTTGGGGGGTGGGGATGGGTAATGACAGGGGCGCAACAAAAATGCTGAATCCATAGCCCCCCCTCCCCCCCCAAATCATTGTCATTATTAACTATGATGATAAATATTGTGTTATTTTAGAGTTGCATAACATTGCATACTCCTGAAAAATGAAGTGGAACTCGTACAAATGTTGACACCGCAACAATGATTTTTCCATCGCCTCAAAGTCTGTGAATTCTAAATGCAAGTTTTGCCTTTCCACGCTCGCGCTGTGATAGCTAGTTCGGGGAAACAGAGAGGTTGGCAGTAAACACCTTTACTGGACGTTAGGGTGGACTGGATATTAAAATTATCTTTCATATAAAATAAACCCTGGGTCCGTGCAGGGCGCAACAACATGCATGTGCCATAGTATTCCCTTGTTTGCTTGGCCACTGGATCCTGCAAGTTTTCATATTCCTATGTGGGTTTGTAAACGGTGCCTCCTGAGATGACTCATGAATGGTCTTCTCTTTATTTCTTTGGTATGGTTTTTAGTTAACGTTATTTACTGTCCAGAGTCGTTTAATTCTGTAGATAGGTTTACCCTGCAGCCTGTTGTTTTCTAATCGCAGTGATGTACTTCACGTTCCGATGTTGATAGCAGGGCCAGAATTCTCAGACGGTGACTATTTGCTGGCTAAGGTGGCAAGCTGGCTTATTCGCAATCATCCATTCGATGCTTAGATTAACCAGAGAAACCTTGGGATTGTTTCCTGGAGAGCACAATCACAGCAATCCATTCGCATGCGTGGAAGATATAATGTTGCTCCCAGGCCTTCCTGCATCGTTCTTTTATTTTTAAGCAGTACCGATCCACTCAGGGCGATCTGTATCTCGCCAGAAGGGTAAAGGTGACGCGGCTTATCCGATTTCTTTGCCGGCTTTTCATTCTCATAATGCGACGGTCACGACAATATTGTGAAAGGAAGGCACCAAAGCAAACACACACTGTGGTCGTTCGTGGTAACCAATAACCCGCTGCTGGAACCGTGTTTATCGTAAGATGTTCACTTAAATGAGAGAGTCTTTAAGGAAATCCGGAGCACCTCGAGTCACATCTGGCTGCTCCGTGATTAAACGATAAGAACTATGATTTAATTAGCATAAAACAATCGTACATTACAGAAGAACACTACTCCTTTTCACCTAATTTATTCTCCATTATATGCAACTCGGAGCTTAAAAATAGAACATTGATTGCCTCCCCTATAAGAAGAGCTTTATTTTAATTGTTGAGATGTGCCGAGTTTCACCCGTGCATCGATAGTTCAGTGTTTATGTGCCATTTTATTGAAGGACTATCTTGGTGTGTTGTGGGACTGTTGTTGTTTTTATGCCTTGCCCAAGCTTGCATTTAGTGTTGAAAAATCTGCAGGAATGTATGCACTTGTGCAATTTGTACTAGTAATTTGCACATTTTGTATTTTCTTTATCTCTTTCTACATCTCGATTTCAAGCTTTCGTGACTGCAGGGATTCATATTATTGGTTCTTTCGGTAAAGTCACGTAGAAGGGAAATAATAATTGTTGAATATTTTTATTATTTTATTATTTCCCTTCTACGTGACTTTACCGAAAGAACTTCTTTCGCGCCGTAGTGACTGTCTTACGCCTTCTCTATTTTGCCCTCCTGTCGTGTTTTTATTTTGTTTGTTGTTGTAACTTGCTGACCCACCCTTACTGGACATCTGTTAAGAAGAGCTTTATAGCTCATCGAATTCCTGCAGCCTTAATACAGATTCCTATTCTGATCAGCAGCAGCAGCCATTTCCTCTCCAGTGTTGGATGAGGGCCTCTTCTACTGTTTGAGGAATATCTTTCCATTACAGTACATACAAAGTAAAATGAAACGACATTACATATGACAGCAACAAGGTAAAGTGGATGTCACTGCTTTAATGAGTTCATTACATTATAAATGGCCAGTGTGCAATGAAATTTGGAAACAAAACAAAATAATGATAAGTTTCCTGAAAAAAAATGGATGAAAATGGAAAAAAGCAGGACTGCACGTCCCGTGAAACTATTACGATGAGGAAAGAAATTAGAGAACACAACACGGTAATAATAATAATAATGACGACAATTTGTCTTGCGCCGTAACATAGCAAGCCATTTCATGGGCTGTTTGAACGTGGCGTAACAACAATAGGGGCGTAATAGAAGCAAAGAGGAAGATGATGATTGGTAAATTTCAAATCCTAACCCTTATGGGGCAAGATAGAGTTGCACAACATATCGTGTTTGAGTTTACTGCATATTTAAATTGGGATTAGTTTTATTTTTATTTTTGATATACCCCAGAAAACAATTATTCTTTTCAGGCGGCTAGAATGTTCCAGATGTCATGCCCCCTTTAAACGGATGGAATAGCTGTGGACACCATAGCAACAGAATGAGAGTGTGAATATATCAGGCAAATTATATCAGATGGAACAGCAACAAAACGATGAAATTAAGAGGTGAGCGTGCGTAGAATGATGGAGTGGTTTTGGATTTTTTTATTTTATTTGATGATGAAAAATATCGTACCATTGTACCAAAATAATAAAGTTTGGAATCGGTGCATAGTATCTGCCTTGACTTGGATCGGAATCACGGACTCTGACAAGGAACATGGAACCAATAGCTGTGAGATGCATGTAGAAGCATGGAGAGAGATGCATGCTGGGAATTAACACTCAAGAGACAGCCAGAGGAACATTGCGGAGAACGAACACAAATTAGAGACGTCATGTTCACCGTTCAGAAAAGTAAGTGTGCTGCGGTTAGAAGAGAATGACGGTTGTTGATGAGACTGATGGAATGGAAATCCAAGAAGGATGATGGCTGCAGGCATGGAAGGATGATATCAGCTCGCAGGAGGGTGAGATGGGTTATTTCATCGTCGGACCTTTGGGGATTGTTGATGAGGCGTGAGGCCTATATCCAGCAGTAGACGGAACATGGTCGATGATGAAAAACCCATTTCAACTTTCAGGTTACCCTTAGAATCTAAATGAATTATAAACAGTGTGGCAACAAGGGCATGGATTTTTTTTATATAAAATAAATGCAATAAAAATGCATAATGCATTTGTTAAGCTTTTGGTTTTGATGGGTGCGGAAGCCAATAACTAAAACATGAGGAAAGAGTACCAGCGAACTATAAATAGAGGGAGAGGTTAATGAAAGGGGAAGATATTGAATTCACAGGTTTGTGTTGGCCCCGTCACCCTGCGTACATTATGTAAGCATTACCATTATTCATTCCATCCACCATGCTCACAGTTGCACGCCGCCACGGATTGCCGTACGGTTTTTGCTGGTGCAACGTGCGCTTGCTTGCTCACTCGCTCGCCAGTGGCTGTGCAGAGGATTCTTCAGTTTGAAACGGAATTTCTCGGAGGAAGCGTAACGTTTTGATGACGTTTATATACACATTCCTGCGGAGGGAGCTGGTAGGAACGTTGGGTTGCTCGGTCAATGGCCAGGGTCAACGGCGGCGTGGTGTATTCCGCAAATATGGCCGACTGTGAGGGCGGGCACAAGCCGGCGTGAGTAGGTTAAACGTTGAGTTTTATAAGGGCACCACGGGGTGACCAGCCCCTCCCCACCCAGCCCCACCCCTCCCACCCTCCCCACCCAGCCCCTCCCCACCCTCCCCTCCCCACCCAGCCCCTCCCCACCCTCCCCACCCAGCCCTTCCCCACCCTCCCCTCCCCACCCGGCCCCTCCCCACCCTCCCCACCCAGCCCCTCCCCACCCTCCCCTCTCCACCCAGCCCGACGACTCCCATTTTTGGATGCAGGACGGACGGACGGGCACAATAATCCCCTGTGGGCTGGTGTAACCAGGAGGTTCCTACCAGTATCAGCATTCTACCAAGCATTTGCGATATTGTTATTATTTCCAATTTATTTCGTATTTCATAAGTTGTTCCGTTTTACGAAACAATTCACGAGACTTTTATTG